CCTGCATGCTGATTGAACATCATTGGCTCCTCCCTCCTGGAGAGCCCTGCATACTGATTGAACGCCCTTGGCTCCTCCCTCCTGGAGACGCCTGCATGCGAATTAAATTTCTCTACCTGCAAGACATCGACTGATTCACTCAGACTGGTGAAGGGGCTCAGGTCCCTTAATGCACCATAGACTGGAAACCTGGAAAGATGACTGCATCTAAGCTCTCCAAGACTGGAGTAAAGATTCTCCATGTCTTCAAAGAAATGGTACGTTTCCATCAAGTCTGCTGGTGCACAGAGAGCCTCTCTGCTTAAATGAAGCCACAATACGTTCGGTGCCATCTTAGCTGAATATCGCGGCCTGAGGTCTTACTAGATCCTCCAGCTCACCAAACGAAAAGCCGTTTCAGGGCAGCTATGAAATGTAAAGGTTAGCAGGACAGAGTTCAGCAGTTTAATAGCAGAATTACCAATTTGAGGGGGCTAAAGAGCCCACCACCCTCATCGGTCAGTCATGGGGGTTTCATTCGGTCTTTGCAGGTGCAGATAACGTCATATTTCACGGGAACCGGCCTACCACTAACGACAAGGCTAATGCTAACACTAATGACACCTCTAGTGTGCCGGAAAAGGACAGACTTGTCCCTGTCACCTGCCCTGAGGAGTCTGTTCCCAAAAATGCCGCTGGAATAACGAATGGCAGGCTGACCGACCTTGAGAAGGTTGGCAAGACTGTTGAAATAGAAGAGGAACGGCCAATTGAAATGGACTTACGAAGAGCATGATGTCATCTCCGAAGAAAGCTCTTTTTCCTGGCGTTCCTATGAGCTGTTCCAGAGTGACCCTTGGGAGAGACACGCCATAGGAAACCTGCTGGTCTGAAATGGGAATGCTTCCGCACGGTCTGCGCCCGTGTAAATGACGGGCGTGGTGACGGATGCGGTGAGATCATGGCTGGAGAAACAGCAGAGCAGGACCCAGTGGGACACGCAGCAGAGACACACGGCTGAAAAACAGGGCAGCACTTTCCCGTAGCCAATGAGAACCTTTCACTTCTAGCAGTAAACACACGAGATAATGATGTCATTGGCTGCCCGAGTACATCTCCATCTATCAAACATGCAAAACATTGCTATAGACAGCATTTGTCATGTGCTAGACGTTGATTTATCCATTTCAAGATATTTCCATGTATTACACAAACGTTATGGGAGATGGAGAGATAGACCATGACTGACCTTAATTTTTAAAGCAAGTTTTTAGAATAAATAAGGCCACAGTGATTATCGTGTGCAAGGTAATGGACTTGAGTTAGATAGAGTAAGGTGCTGAATTACTGCAGAAAAATATCCAGATAAATAAAGAGACAATCACAATAACTAACCCATGGTAAGTGCTGGTTTAGGATTAGGTTCCTATAGTGATGTCCACGTGGTGGCTCCTTCACATGCCGAGGGTAATGGGCTCAAGGCTGGATGGCGCATTTTCAGTACACACACATAGCACTTTTAAACGTTAATCATTCCCTGCCAACTTTGAGAAGATCATCATGTAACGTTGCTTGAAGTTCTGGGAACGTTCCCTGGTAGCTACAGGTCCCTACCAAGCCGATCTAAGGAGCGTCTGCTACCCTCTGCTCTACCACGCCCTTCATTTGCTTTTACACTATTAGTCTTAGTTGTAATAGCAGGATAACATTCTGGGATCATCAGGAATACTGGACACTATGAACGTTTCCATACCTTAATTGAAACATTTGGTAAATGTTCCTAGGACAAAAAATTGTTAGCAGGGGGGGGGGATGGAGATGTTAGGAGATGAGAATAGGGGAGGGAGCATTAGAGGTTCCTGTTTTCAACACAACACACTGCAAAGATGCACATTAGATCTTACAGCTGCGCAGAGGTCATTTCAATAAACAGTACAGGTGAAACAAGCAGGCAAAGAAACAAGAAAGCAAACAATCAGACACATGAGAGCAAAGAAGGCAAAAGCACACAGATATGTGACAGCGTGTCAAGACGTGGGCTTCTCAATACAGCAGGTGACCCTGGGGGATTCTGGGCCAACACACAGGTGTGTCCCAAGCTGCAGGAGAGTGAGACCAATTTGTGTTTGTGGGGACCTGGAGAGAGGACAACAGAGAGGGCATCGATTGTTCCAAGTGCTGAAGGAAGCTGCACCTTCTGACTGTTTATGGCCGGGTGCTGGACCTCCTGCGAGACAGCATTGGCACCTCACACAAGTCCACTCGGTCTTCACTGGTAAATCATTGCAACCCTTTTCCTAGCACACTGCTAAGATCACTTCCTGTTTTCCTGTATTTTGTAATCATATAATGGGTGTTTGGCTTTTTTTTGACACTTCAGATTGATAATATAATCAGAAATCATGTTTTTCTCACAAGGTTGCAGGTTAGTAGGTATCAGGAAAAACAGCAACATGGCATTTAGAGTATATTAACAAAAGGAACAATCTGCAGGAATATGCTTAGAGTGACCCCTGGTGTTGGAAATATATATTGTACCATTTTTGGTCATCTTAACCCTTTTACATGACTGCATACAGCACAGGAGCAGAATAAGACAGTATGCCCTGTAGGTGGCAGTAGGTGGCACAGTAGTTAAGGAACTGGCTATCGCACAAAATGCTAATTGAAATATTAAGAGTGGAATTATTAGTTTTTTTGTGGTATTTTTTACTGAGTATTGTGCAGCTTAACTGACTGCAACATTTACATTTATGGCATTTAGCAGACGGTCTTGTCCGGAGCGACTTCCATTATTCTAAATTCAGGGACAGTCCCCCTGGAGCAAGTTGGGGTTAAGGGTCTTGCTCAGAGACCCAATGATGGTAGTGCCAGTGGTGGGACTCGAACCCGCGATCTCTTGGTCCAGGAGGAGCAGGTAGAACATAGATGCCTGACGTACCTCCTCTCCAGTCACATGATGTATCTGTGATGACCTCACACAGTACAGGTTACACAATCAGACCTGCACACACCAGCTTGGTCTGCTTGGTGAGAGGTGAGATTTCTCCCATGTTATGAGCTCACCCCCCCACAAATACCTCTTTAAATCTGGCAGGACGCTGCAGGATTTAATAACAGCCTGGGTTGTCGTGACTGAACATCTCTAAATCACAGGCTGCACCAAGGGGTAATAATTAGCAGTAATTACCTAAGACAGGGTTAGTTTATCTTTAACAGTCATGCTGAGACATGGGTGCTCCCCATTCCTCCCCCCCGTCCCTCGATGGCTGGGATGGGCATCACGTACAGACACGCTCAGGGATGTGGGGGCCTTGTGCACACGCAACACCTCACCACAGACTTGCCTAATCCTCAAAATACCCCCCCCCCAGTGCAAAGACAAAAGACAGGGAATCATATTCAGTGTGAAATGTTTTATTTATAAGGTCAAAAAATCCAGCCAAACGTTATCCCCGTAGGCAAAAAATACCATCACATTAAGTGCTTAAAATAAAACAATAACTCTGTTTTCCGATCTTAATCTATAAATTAGAAACAGACACATCACTTGATGCGCAGTTCCTGTTTTGAGTGAATGCTTTTTTAAAAGTATCATTGCACCTGCCTTTTTTTTTTCCAAAATAAAAACACTAACATTAATAAATAAAAGTGGCAACCTTGCAGAGGAACATGAGGAAGGTGAAGAAGACTCCGGAAGGGACAGGGCTTTGCTTGTCTCGCATGTTCCTGTTTCGTCCCTCACTTCCTGCTTTCTACGTTGCCAGCCCCATGGCGATTTTGACAGCTTCCTGTTTCGCCATGTAACACTGTTTGACAATAAGGTAAAAAAACAAACTGCTCATCTCAGATCGCTTTTCAGACCCTTTTTAAATGGTTTACGCACATGAGTTTGCACCCAGACACCTTATTCTCCAAACGCTTGAGCATAATGAGGATATCAGAGCAAGGTGACTACGTGTTTCATGAAAATGAGAGAAGAGAAGGGAGGAGGGGGTGTTTCTGAGGTCTGAGAGTCGGTGTGTAAACAGTCAGGGCTTTGAGGAATCTCCATAGCTGCATGGGATTCTGGGAATTATCTGCTGGCCAATTGAAGTTTATCTGCGACCCCAGTAATCAGCACATTCTTCATAGGCAGACATCTCAGCCCTGTACCCGCTCTTTCTCAGGAGATTAGATAGAGGCAGACCCCCC